TGAATCTACGCTCGCTATGGATCAAAGAAGAACGTAGCGGCGGTTCTAACGGGGGTCAAAAACAAAGCGCCATGGCTGGATTTGCTGCCGTGGATAGTAACCATGGCGATGAACATGCTGATGAAGGCGAGGCGGTTGGCGAGATGGGGAAGCAGCCTGGAGTGAAGGAAGAGAAGGAGAAAGAGAAGGTTTTCCGGGTTAAGGTTGGGAGGTCGCTCGGGGTGGGTGATCTTGTGGAGCGGAATGAGAGTGTGCGATGAGGGGTTGGATTTCGCGGATGGACGACCTACTATTATTTAATTGATGAGGCAGGGCTGGGTGGGTTGCGCTGGTCATCTCATGGGATTGCATACTAGGACTGGCATTGATTATCTATAGAGCACAAGGAGGAAAGCGCCGAAATATTTGTTCGGTATCTCTCTCTCTCTCTATATATATATGTACGGAGGTTATTTGAACTTAATCTTCAGTTGAGTTCCAAAAAACTGCTCCTTGCGCTCGGATAAGCACAAGTACTTCGCCTTACGCGTCTGGCCATGCCTACAATAGTTCATAATCTCTTGTTAAGATCCAGTCTAGGCAATTATGGGTTTCATTAGGAAGATATGAAATTATCCTGTGGCAATTTGTAAAGAAGAAAATGAAACTGAATAGAAGGCTCCGTCTCCGTTTTTGCCAATCACAACAATCCAATCCCTCTCATTCCTATCGAATACACACTCGATTGACGTTTCCCGTACATCTCGTAAGATGCGCACAAAAAGACCAAACTGTAGTAATAGAAGAGAGGGTTTGGCGTATTTAAAACAAATTTCCCGTTGGAGAGGGGGGAACCTCCGGGAGTTAACGATCAGTTCAATAGCAACCAGAAAATTTGGATTGCAAAAAAAAAAAAAAAAAAAATTAAAAAAAAAAAAATTAAAAAATAAAAAATAAAAATAAAAATAAAAATAATATCAAAAGAATGTAGACTACAGTGGATAACAAGCAGGTCATGAACAGGTAAAAAAAAAAGTTGAAAAGCCGTTCCACCTCACTATTAGTGGGAAGCCACGCTTTTGCGTGCGTTTTTATTCCTCCTCTTCTCCTCCCTCTTCCTCTGCCTCCTCTCGCGCTTGACCTCCTTTTTTCTCTGCCGCCTATTACGCCGCAGCTCTCTCTTCTCATCTTTAATATGTGCCACCAATCTGCGGAATTCTTTCTTCGTACTCTGTATGTCTTGTTTGAGAGCACGTTGCGCCTCATTGGGATTTATATTCTTAGTGGTATCGTTACCGTCTGTTGGATTATTGTCGGAGTTGCGTGCAGCAGCGCCGTGTTTTGCTTTTTTAGTGCAGCGGAACTGCTTAAGTGCCGTTCTTAGTGTGTAGAGTTCCTGCTGGAGGTGGTCGATATCCGAGCGCTCCCCACCCATGAGCCCACGGGCCCGACTCCGTTCATGTTCTTGCTGAACAATTTGGATCCTCTCCTTAAGGGCTTCAAGGGCTGCGGTGTGCCTCTGAGAGTATGAGGAGAGAGAGGAGAGAAAGGAGGCCTCTGAATCTGACGACGAGGATGACGAAGACGAGGATGAGGACGATGAAGATGAAGATGAAGATGTTGATGAAACGGATGCACTCCGTTGACGATGTTCCGCTCTCCTGTTTCTTCTGTTGCCTTCCCATCCACTCCATGGGTGAGCGGGAGTGTGAGTAAATGGATTTCCTTGGTTATTGCCACCCCATGGGTTTCCCCAGCCGAAGCGATGCCCATGAGGGTGCATGTGCCCAAATGGTCCCTTATAATATGCCCAGTGTGCTCCAGGCCCTCCTCTTCCCCATGGTCCTCTTCCACATCCGCGTCCCCATCCCATACTTGACAAATGCTTCGCTTTCTGCTCAAAATCTTTGCCTCTAGTTTTGGCCTGCTCTTCGATCATCCGGCCGTACTGTTGGCTTCGTTCCTCGACCAGCTTTCCATGTGCAACAGCCTGGTCGCTATATGCCATTGGCCATACTGTTCGGCGCGTTCGCCACAGCTGCGTCGCCC